AATAGAACAAAGTGTTCTTGCATTGAGGGAGTACTTGAGTGGAGGCCCAATGCCCATCAGCCACCTTAATACTAAACCTATAAATTTCTTTCATCGCTATAAATAGGGACAATTTTAAAATGATCTCTTTCGTCTTTTTCAGCACACACTTTCTCAGATTACACAAGGCATCCATATGCCTAAGGGAGATTAAAATTTGTTACAAATAAAATATGAAAAGAAAAGGTATCATTTACTTAAAAAAAATCATGTTATTGGGGGCTCGTACAACTATTGTCACAACCCATCCATCCATCCATTGCATATCAAGCACATTTGTATATTTATTGCCCTCATCATTTTCAAAACATTTGCTTTCTACTTGAGTCCTTTGTATCAGCTCATTTTTACCCCCTCTCCCTCCCCGCTCCCTTATTTGCCTTTTAACATTCAAAATGGAATTTCACTGCAAAGCAATAGACTTGGGAGAAAAGCATTATTGAGGAAGAGAAAAAAAATCCTTCAATTTTCTCATATCTCATTAATATACCAAGTAAGGCTTCTGATCACAGAAGTTTATGTCCCAGGTCCAGCCAGGAGGAGAAAGAAAATCAGGCCTTGATGGTTATACAGATTGGGCATGATTACTGGAAGAGGAATAATTGCAAAAGCCCTAGTTTCTAGTTGAGGGGGGCTCTGGTCCAGGTTCCCATTTGGGATGCTGAAAATCACTCAGAGTGGCACAGCATGATGGAAACCATGTGCACTCTTCCTCAGCTGCCATGTGACACAGTGTAGAAGTAATGCGCTGCCACAAGACCTTTAGTAGCAGGGTAGAGTGATCCTGCAGTAGATGATGATGATGACAGTGTACTCTGTAGGCAGGCCAAAGGGACAAACAGAAGCTATGGCAGAGTTTATGTGAGCTCATGAACTCAGTAAGAATAAAGAACAGGCAGCCACAGGAGGGACGAGGTCATGTAGCCATTCCCAAGTAAAAAAGAACAAGCCATGAGTTCAGTTGCTGCAGACATCAACAGTAGGTAATGGCAGAATGTCAAATTCTCATCAGTGACAGATAAATCATTTTGTAACCGTCAAAAAAAACAACAACAGAAAACTATCACAACTGTTTTCGTCTGAGAGTGCCCTCGTCACCAAGAGACTAAATGAAATTCCCATGGCCCTTTAAGAACTCCAGATACTCCCAGTGAAAGAACAAGGGTGGATTAATCAGAAAAGGAGACCAAGGGCTCAAGTAGAAAGCAAATGTTTTGAGAATGATGATGGCAACATGTGTACAAATGTGCTTGACACAATGGACGGATGGATTGTGATAAGAGTTGTATGAGCCCACAATAAAATGATTTTTTTAAAAAGGAGGAGGAAATAAGAAACTGAATGTTACCTAAAGAAATTGCTTAAATTACTGGTTTGGATATAATTATACATCAGTTTAAAATAAAATAACTTAATTTTCTCTTCACATTCTGCCGTGTGATTAGACCTGCCACTCCATTACACATCCCAACTCTAATCTCAAAATAGGATTGTTTCTTACTGCAAAGCAGGAATATACCGATTTCCTCACAAATTGTAAATGCTCTAGCACTTCCTACTGAATAATCAATTCCCTTTCCATAACCCTAACAAAAATATACATTATGTGACTCCATTTATATGAGAATCTAGCATGGGCAGAGTTTAAGTATAATGAAATTAGACACAGGGTAGGGGTAAGGATTAGCTGGACAGGAATTCTGAGTATGTTACTGGATAAGAATGTCCTGTATCTTTTCTTTTTTTCCTGTATCTTAATTGGGTGGTGGCCACAAATATATACATTTATCAAAACTCACAGAAAATTAGTTTAAAATATGTTATTTCTCTGTATGCAAATTATACCTCAATAAAAATTTTTTTTAAAGGAAAAAAGTCAGTGGTGCCATTGATTTGAATCTCTGGTTCGTGGTCTTCACATTTTTCCAGACATTTCTTTTTAAGTAAATATGTATGAATTTCATGGTTTCTCATTTTATTTTCTCTTCCAATTATTTACTTATTTTGCATATAGGAAAACTATTGGTTTTTATTCTTTTTTCTAATACTCTTTTTTTTTCCCTAATACTCTCTTATATCTATAAATAATGAATTTTTAAATGTCTTCCTTTCTTGTGCTTCATATTTCATTGCATACGCCGGGCATTTCAAACATTATTACATAGAAATAATAAAAGTAGATATCATGGGTATAATAAAATTATTTCTAAAGTTATGAGTCATCTAGTTTTAAGGATGTATCATATATCATATTGAGAAAGTACTCTAACCCTGTTTTTAAAATATCTTTTTAAAAGAAGGAATAGGAATTAGAAAAAATCTGAGGTTTGAGATAAATTTAAAAAAAAAATCATTTTATTGGGGCCTATACAGCTCTTATCACAATCCATACAAACATTCATTATGTCAAGCACATTTGTACATATGTTGCCATCAGCATTTTCAAAACATTTTCTTTCTACTTGAGCCCTTGATATCAGCTCCTCTCCCCCCATGAACTCTTGCTAATTTATAATTTTTTGAGCTTGTTTCTTAATTGCATATTATGATGGAATTAATAGTCTTAAAATTAAATACAAGTTTAAATAATTCAATCGTACAATTATAACCTGCTCCTGAGATCGACTTAATCTAGTGAAGTCAAGAGGAGATGTGGCCTGATACCTAGGTTTCACACACTCAGTAAATTATAATCAACCAGAGGCCATTCAGCCATATCTTTCAGCAGCGAAGAGAGTACCATCCATAAGAATGAGTATTTTAATTCAAATAAAATGAACATTAGCTCTGCCTTACAAAAAGTTTGAAGAACTACATACCTTCAAAATAAATTTTAGAATTGCATAATTTCAAGAAGGTTTAAAAAGTAATTTGCTTTAACAATACCAACCTGGGTTCTTAATATTCTTAGTTGAACTATTCCTTCATTCTCTTCTTCTCTCATTCTTTCTGTGGTGAGCTGCAAGCGTCCAATCAAGTTTATTTTACCCCTTTTCTGGACTTTTGCATTTTTTCTATTAAAAAAATTAAATAATGATATACAGATCAAACTAAAACACTAAGTATTTTATAATAAAAAACTTTAAAAAATAAAATAGCAACATGTAAGAGAAAGTTTTAGAAACAGTCTGAAAACTAACATAAATAAGTATTTTGAGAAAAAAATAACATAAGCAAAAACCAACTCATAGCAACTCTGTAGGGCTGGATGGAACTGCCACTTTGGGTTTGAGACTGTAACTCTTTACAGGCAGAAAAACAATCTCATCTTTCTCCCATGGAGTGGCTAGTGGTTTCTTTTTTTTTATTAAAAGAAAAAATCAGGGGAGAGCGCGAACGCAGTCCCCCACTACCACAAATTATGCAGTCGAGTTTCCCACATTTGGGGAAATCGCAGGGGTCAGCACATCCAGAGTGCAATGGATAAGCCTCGCCCTGGGAAAACCACCTTCGTGATCATGGTATCTCCCCTGCCAGGTAAGTATGGGTAGTGGTTTCAAACTGCTGACATTGTGATTAGCAGTCCAACCAACAACCCAATATGCCACCAGGGCTCCTGAACAAACAACAGTTTTACTAAAAATGTACTTTCTAATTTTTTTCCAAAAAGTAAGATAAAGACTCTCATGACATGTAGGTGACTACACAGTCTGTACATGGGCTTCAAAAATTTCAGGAAAAAATGAAAGCGATGATAATTTTTCCATGAACTTATTTTGAAGCCTCCTTATATTGAATGAAAGTGCTTAGATAACTGAAGATCTAGGGGTCGTGATTCAACATAATCTTCTAATTGGATCTTCAAGGAACAGTGTTTCTGGGAATTCGGTTGCTTTTCTGTACAATTGGTTGCTCCACAGTTAAAAAAAAAGGTGGATATTTTTAGATGAAACACACCACCAGCGTTTTTTGTCAGCCACTAAAAATGCATCCATGGAAAACATGGCAAAGAGGTAAAATCTCTAGTTTACTAATTTGTTTAACAAACAACTAAATGAAATAAAGTATTTAACAGAATATATTTGACATATCATCTAAGGAAATATAATTATTTAATTAAAAACAAAACATTAAAAGTCAAACAAGACATTTTTATTTTAGATCAATCAACAAAAACCTTACATTAAACTGAATTCCTGGTTCACAGAGAAGAGGGTACCTTCTGTAAAGTCTTTGGGTGAGTTGACTTGAGGCTCATATAGTAAAACTTGCCGTTTTAGCTTTGGGAAAGCTACTAAAGACTACAAAAAAGAAAAAGAGAAAACAGTGTCCATGAATAGTACAAACTACTCGGATCAATTCTGGAGCATGATCAACATAGGCAATCCCTATAAAGATAGCAGTGTCAATACACAGTGGGTGGAATGAGTTGGTTATCAGGAAGCAACAAATGCCCTTTTTGCAATTCGAAGATTAGAAATTAGAGGAAGTGGTCATTGACTATCTTGTTATCTGACATTTCACATTTACAATAGTGAAAAATCTACAATCCAACATTTTCCCCATGAATAACATTATTGTCTGGCAATAAACAACACCAAGATGCAAAGTGAGAGTGATGATATAGGTCTGATGATTGCTGTGTGTCAATTAGGCTGGGCCATGATTCTCAGTTATGTCATGATGTAGTAGTCCTGCTCCATTTTCATATAATGCTGACTTTCAAAGAATGACCTGGTCTTTGGAACTCAATTAACCATGCTGACAGGTGAGGAGTAGGTAAATATAATCAGAGCAAATGCCACTTAGCCAGTTATAAGCCAGCTGTCTCCTCCCTAGCTAGTACTTATTTTGGAACCTACAAAAACGTCTATGGAATGGGAGTAAAATGTAGTTATAACAAGGAGGTCAGAAAGGAGATCAGAGAGGAGATTTTACAATTCCACAAAAATGGCTACTAAAGTTTCCTGGATCTTTTGAATTTGGGTTATCCTAAAACCTCTGACCACATTCTCAGTATGTGTCTGGTTACACTTCTAACAGATAACGTTAAAATACCAACTCAATCTTATTTTTTGTTCCCTTTCTCCATCTTGATAACTTGCCTCTTTTTAATTTCTTTTCTCTATTAATACTCATTAATACCCTTTCCCTTTGGCTAACAATTAGTTGAGTGTTATTATTTCATAATTTCTTACAAGATAATTATATATTTCTTGCTGGATGACAGGATACTATTTTAATAACACAAAGCAAACCAACCCATAAAGTCCTTCTAAGCTCAGCATCTGGGAGTTCAGTGGCAAGTTTGAGATTTTCAAAGCTGATTTTCTCTCTGGGTCTTTGGTTCCATGCAAACAATACAGCCAGCTGAAATGTTGTCACTTCCAAATCATATTGCCCTACTTCATTCTTAAACGTTATCTACAACAGAGAAAACGAGAACCTATTTAGAATGATATTTTATTATAAGTCACATAACTCACACACCATCTCTTAGATAGCTTAACATACACAGTATCTTATCATATTAATAAAACATTTAGCAGGCCTTAAGGACTGCCCAGAACAATGGCTGAACTCCCAGCTTCCCCTTAAACATATTGTGGACATATGACTCAGTTCTGACCAATGACATGCAAGTAGAAGTAGTGGAGGAAGTTTCTCGAATATACCATTAAAAGATGTGCCCGACACCAGCCTATGCAACCACGCGGTGTCGAAGGGATCAGGTATAAGGCATCATCA